CAGCTGTATGACTAGGAGCAAATTGTTAACTGGAGAGGCTTGGTGACCTTAGGCAGCCTCTCTGTGCCTCAGTTTCCTCACTTACAAAATAGGATGATAGAAGTACCTACTTGCTAGTGTTGTTGTGACCAACAAATGAATTAATATGTGTAAGGGGCTTAGAACAGTGCCTGGCACTAGTAATTGTCATGTAAGTGTTCGCTTAAAGAGGAAGAACAAAGAAAAAGTTGGTGCTGAGTTGCTTATTCCTCTACTATATATGGGGATGATAGTGTCTTTGTGGTATTATTGTGGGAGTTAAATAAAGTATCATATGTAGATACCCAGCATAATTCCTTTCATACAGTACATTAGCAGAAAATGTTAATTCTCTTGCTTTATAAGTCATTCATTCAAAAGCACTTGTATACTTTCTGTGTGGATTGTACTGCTAGGCTGCTGTAAGGTATTCAGAGGTAAAAGTAGGATAAAACCTGCTCTTAACCTTTGACTAGCTATTTTGAGGGAAAAAACAGCCCCCAACCTAAATACAGTAGCCTCAATATATGCAGAGGATTGTACCCCACCCCATCACCCCCATATACCCACCCCCATCCATGCACACTCAAGCCCACAGTCAGCCCCGTGGAACCAGTGTTCATGAAAAGTCATTTCTCTGTCTGTGTGGGTTTTGCATCTGGTGAACACTGTATTTTCAGTCAGCATTTGGTTGAAAAAACATCCATGTGTAAGTGGAAATGCACATTTCAAATTCATGTTGTTCAAGGGTCAACTATAAACCTTAAGGTCACTAAGTGTCCAGTTATAGTGCAGCTGCTAAGAGGTGAATGAACTTTGGTAATTAAGGAAGACTTTAGTGAGGGGGAGCCAACTGGGATGTTTAATTAGAGAAGATTGGGAGAAAGGATTTGGGCTTAAGTGTTTAAAAGGACTGTCAAGTGTAAAATGTGGTTTATTTAGTCTGTGAAGATCACAAAAAGGAGGTACTTTTCTAACAATTTTTCTAACTCTCTGATATTGGGATGTTTTGCATTCTGAGGTGCTAAGAGCTGTGTTTTGTGAATCTTTTGGTTGCAATTTTAGGTGAATAGAAAACCATACAGTTCAGCATAATTAAAAAATGAATTGAAAATTTATTAGGATACAAATATTTCATGGACTTCAAGTGCAACCCAGTTTCATAAGTAACTAAAAATAGGAACAGGAAAGTCTCAGGAATCTAGCTGTCTGTCAGGTGCTTCTTCTCTCATGTGGTTTCCTGCCTCTGAGTGTATCAACTTCATTCTTTTCCCTCTTTCTTCCGCTGGCTTCTATGCTTTGGCACCTGTGCACTTGAACTTGGCTGCCTCGTAGTTGCTGCGCTTCCATATCTTCCGACCATTCCAACTGACTCATATTTCTTGGTCCCTGGGCACAAGATACAGAGGATCTGATTGACAAGCTAGGGGTAGGGAGGGCCAGTTTATGATTACCTCATAGTGAGAGGGGGTGTGCAGCGGCTTGTAGCATAGCAATGGTCGAGAGGGTCCACCCTTGGGGTTGAGGGTTCTGCTCACTCACACGAGGACCGTGGGCTGAGCAGATGCCCCAGCAAGGGTTACAACAGGCTCCCAGGATCTGAGGGTTGGCAAAGTCCTCAGTGGGAGCATGGTAAAGGGAGCTCAGGTTTTAGGTGAGGAGTTAGGATAGGTGCATTCTCCCGTCCTCTTCAGATATTTTGATGTTGTTAGCTGGAACCCAAGTGAAATCCCTTTTCTATTGTGGTAAAGTATGCACACCATAAAATTTACCATTTAAACTCTTTTCAACTATCAAATTTAGTGTCATTAGGTATATTCACTTTGTTGTGCAATGCTCATTGTTCATTTCCAGAACATTTTCATCATTCCAAATGGTAACTCACACATATATTCCCAGCAAATTTGGAGACTGAGGTGGGAGGACTGCTTGAGGCCAGGAGTTGGAGGTTGCAGTGAGCTATGATGATACCACTGCAGTTTAGCCTAAGCAACAGAGTGAGACTCTGTCTCAATCCCCCCCCCCAAAAAAACCCCCACAAACCCAAAAAACCCTCAGTAAACCGATTATATGTTAACATAAATAATATATATTTATGAAAAGTAACTATATTTACCAAAACAGGATAATTAGAAGAGTAGCATTGTTTTATATTTTTGTGCGTATCATTAGTATTTGGCTTAGTAGAAGAGAGCTGATTCTCATATCCATTCCTTCCTTCAGATTGTGTGAGGAGGTGTTATGGTGGAAGTGCATGAAGAAAATATGACCTCACAGAGATATGTATTTGTGAAAGAGAAGAGTTTTTCAGTAGCCTTTTCAGAAAATTGTAGATATTCTTTGATACTACACCACAACTCACTCTGTGAGTGGTAGTTTCTTAAAGGTTAGTTGTGATGTAGAATCTGAAGCTGTACCATCCACTTACCTTAGAATATTTCAGTTTATTTTACACTTTAGTTGGTTCTTTTGCCCACGTATGATTTTGTTAACATCATGGTTCACTGAGTTTTGTAGATATTACATTATGCAATAAAGTTTCAAAATGTCACTTTTGTCAGTGTTACTTCTGATCTCATTGGAAACGTTTCTAAGTATTGGGAGGTTGTCAAGCTCTTACAGTGACAGATACAAGCTTTCAAAAATTCTTATTTTCACTTGGAAGATCAACTTTTATCACTGGCCACAAATTCTGTCCATTGTTTAACTTGAAGTGATAGCTCATTTGTTTTTGAGAAAGTCTGCCAAGTACTCCAGTCTAAATAATGGTAATTTGCCTGTCATTCCTTCTTTGAAGTGAAGGTGGTACTGAATGCAAAAAGTGGCTCAGGTACCTGCAACTCAAACAATAGCACAAGTGATTTTTCTCTAGATACTACTGTCCAGTAGAAGTGCTTCATGCCTGCTTCCCATGTCATCACATGGATGTTAAAAAGGCGTGTCCTCAAAGATTGAAGTTTAATAAAAGCAATGATTTTTTACTGCTCCATCAAGGACACTCCTAAGTAAAAGTGGCTTTTTTTTTTTTTTAATGTGAGGTGGGTATGGGGAAGAATACAATGACCACTAGGATAGCTTGATCTCACTGCTTTGATTGGCTTTAAGATACTAGCAGTTTTACCCTCGCATTTGCACCATTGGTGCATAAAAAGGTGATAATGTCTTACTATTATGAAAATAGTTTGGGCCTCATGGACTCCCTGAAAGGAGGAGTTCACATCCCTAGATGTTCACATCGTCATTTCTAAATTGCTGACATAAGCCAGTGTTTCAGCCTTGTGGATATCGGAGGAAAAGTCTGCCATAGTCCTAGAAGGAAAAGATGTGGCAGAAGTCAGGACCTGCATGGATATTTTATATCCTCCTCTACATCTGGCATCCTTTGTGATAACCTTATAAACATTATTGTCAATGGAAAAGAAGCCAAACTCTGTAAAATAATTTTAAAGAGATTTATTCTGAGCCAAATTTGAGGACCATCACCTGGAGCCATGCTCAAGAAGCCTTGAGCAAGTGGACTCGCTGTAGCTGGGTTACAGTTTGGCTTTATACATTTCAGGGAGACAGGGGTTACAGGTGAAGTCATAAATCAATGTGTGGGAGGCATACATTGGTTTGGCCCAAAAGGTGGGCCATCTCAAAGTGGGGGGTGGCTTACAGGTTATAGGCGGGTTTAGAGATTCTTTGACTTGTAATTGGTTACAGACATGAAGCTTTGTCTAAAGGCTTGGAATGTTTTAAGATAAGGAGGCCTGTTAATCAGAGACAAGCAACAGGACATATATTTGTTATGTAAATTTTTTTCAAAGTCCTCTTTTTTTTAATTTTAGCATATTATGGGGGTACAAGTGCTAACGTTACATATATTGCCCACGTTCCCCTCCTCCCTCGAGTAAGAGCTTCAAGCGTGTCCATCCCCCAAACATTGCACATGTTACTCGTTGTGGTTGTATATACCCATCCCCTTCTCCCCCCTCCCACCCTCCCAACACCTGATAAATGTTATTCCTATATGTCCACTTAGGTGTTGATCTGTTAATACCAATTTGCTGGTGAGTACATGTGGTGCTTGTTTTTCCATTCTTGAGATACTTCACTTAGTAGAATGGGTTCTAGCTGTATCCAGGAATATACAAGAGGTGCTATATCACCATTGTTTCTTAAAGCTGAGTAGTATTCCATGGTATACATATACCACATTTTATTAATCCACTCATGAATTGATGGGCACTTGGGTTGTTTCCACAGCTTTGTAATGTGAATTGTGCTGCTATAAACATTCGATGTTATGTAAATTGAGGACCTGCAGGTTTGTCTTGAATACCCTTAGGCCTGTTAATGGTTACTAAGGATGTCCCCAAGAAGGGAGGGGGGCATGATGAGGCATATGACCTCATCTTGGCCTGCAATTTAGTTTTAGGATATCCCCTTGGCCAAGAGGGGTTCCATCCAGTCAGTTGTTAGGGGGTGGTGAGTGAAGGTGGGGGTGAGGGGGACAGCCTTAAGATTTTATTTTAGTCCACAGTGTGGTCACAGTCATCCTGGAGATGGAGCCAGCCCTACAAAAGCAAAGCTGGGTGTTGCGTTTCTGAAACCATGCCCTAGTAGTTATTTGAAAACTATTTGGCATTTTAAACTCCCTTCTCCTTCTAGACACTGAAATTTAATATCACGTAATTGTCACCCATTGATAATGTCAAGCCTTTGGGCTATGACACCATCTGTTGGCAGCATGGCTTTGGAGCTTCTCCCAGGTGAGTTTTGCTGCCTCAAAGGAAAAGTGGAGGAGTGTATTTGTTAAGAAGATGATATATACATCTTTTAATTGACCTGGTCTCAGCAAATTTGTTTTTTATGTTAGAATACTATATTCAGCAATCAAGCTAAAAATGAAATAACCTTGAGCAAAACTCAGTATTGGTCTTGTGACATTTGCAAATCAGTAGGCTTAATAATGCCCTTCCTCTCTCCTTTGTTTTCAGCAATGGAAGAGTTAATAGTTGAACTTCGCCTCTTTCTCGAACTCCTGGACCATGAATACCTAACCTCAACTGTCAGGGAGAAAAAGGCAGTGATAACCAACATTCTGCTGAGGATACAGTCCTCCAAAGGTGAGTCTCATTCAAAAGTCTGGTCGTTCTTCTTCCCACCTCTTTTGGCTTCCACACCATCTTTAATTCTCCTATCTTTCTAAAACATGTTCATTTGTTCTTTAACTTAGGAACTTATTTATTCATCAAGTTTTCATTGAGGGCCTAGGCTTATGCCAGCTACTATGTTAGCCTCGAGGGAAGGTAAAGCCTTCAAGAAGCTAATAGAATTGTGAGTGTGTTGGGGACCCCAAGAGCACCCCGACATCCAGAGGAGATTAACTAGGAGGACTCACAGAACTCGGCACATTGCTGCATTCACTCGTGCTCCGGATACATTATAGCGGTGGTGAGGATACAGGCCCGACTGCTGACCGGAAGGGAAGAGACCCAGGCAGAGTCTTCAAGAGCCCAGGTGTGGGCTCCCTTATACTCTCTTCCTCTTGTGAGGGTCACATGGAGCACACTCCGTTCTCAGCAACAAAAATGCAGCCCATGTGTGTGACATTTCTGTCCGGGAAGTTCATCAGAAACTCAGTGCCTGAGGCTTTTACTTGGGGCTGGTCCTATAGGCATCCTCTGCCTAGCACGTGCCAAAATTCCAGACTCCTGGAAAAGCAGGTGGTCAGCAGGGACCAACCACACTGTTTGCACAAATAGTGCAGAAAAAGTAAACCAACCTTACCAATTGGGGAATGGTGGGGGTACTTCTGAAGTCCCAGTTCCTAGGTGCCAGTCAAGGGCCAGACTTACAAGCAGGCCCCTGTGCACATGGCGGCCTCTGGCCTGCTCTGTTAACTCTTTCATGCTCAGCAGGTAAGACAGAAAAGTGCAATAGTGAGAGCATCAAGGGTTATGGGAGCACTCATGGGCAGAGTCCAAAGTAAGGTGGTGAGAGTGGAGAGTGGGGCAGGCTAAGAGGCAATTCTTGGAGGTTATGCTGTCAGAATCTTGGAGGCTCTGTAGGAGATAGCTGGATGAGGTGTAGAGATTTTTCTTATTGAGGGAGAATTCACAGACCAGACACGTCACTCATTTAAAGTGTGAAATTCACTGGTTTCTAGTAAATGAAGCCACAGTATGACGCAGTTATGTTTGCATTCTGGAGAACTTGCCTGGCCCATCTGGAAGATGGGTCAAAGGGTTTGGTGGCAGATTGAATTATGATGTGGATACCTGGGCAGATGGTGAGACCAGTCACTTAGGATATAAAGCAGGTTGAGGACTGTATTTTGGGGTCAATATGAAATGTTCATGTTTGTAATTTTGTTACTTCCTTTGGTCAAAATCTAGGCTGCTTAGCCTGCCTGAGAAGGCCCTTCATAATATTAATATGTGGGTGTGTATGTTGTGTGGATTCTTGAGTCTAACTGGCTTTGCCTCCTGGCTCTGCCCATTACCAAATGTGTGACCTTGCACTAGTTCCTTAATCTCCTCACACTTTATCTGTAAAAAAGTATTAAGTAGCATCTACCTCGTGGGATGTGAGAGTTGAATGAGATAAAATATTTCAAAACAGTGCCTGACACGTAGCATCACTCAATAGCTATCAACCATTATTTTTTATAATTGCTTTTATTAAGCAGATCGGCTGTTATTTTTTGTGATTCTTTTATTAGCAGAGGTTGTGTTACTTTGCAACCTCATCTCCTCTATGTAGGAGAAGGTACTTTCTTTTCTGAGTGCGTGGTCCCACCATCTATCCAGGCATCCTCTCCCCTTCTGTCAGCTGTTGCAGACTCCTAGTCTGGGCACACACAGTGCTTGGCCCTCTGTGCCTTGGTAGTGCTGTTTGCTTTCCCTAATTTCCTGTCCTCTGTTCCTCTGCCCGGCTAGCTTGAGTCCTTGTTTCCTTCTGGATGTACCTTCTGATATTTACCAATTCACTAATTTTTTCTTCAGCTCTTGAATTTGCTTTAAACCCATCCACTGATTTTTTTTTTGGTAGTAGTAGAGTTTTCCTTTGTTCTTCTTTTCCCTCCTTTTCTTTTTTTTTACTGTTTGCCAAAATTCTCGTCTCCATTGCAGCCCCTGGAGGTCAGGCACTAGGTTTTTTCATATTTTCATTCCTGGCCTCTAGTGTCATGTCATGCTTGATCCATTACAGGTGATCATTGTTAAGTGATTATTTTTATAAATCTTTCCAAGTGAGCTCTGGCATATAACCAGTGCTGTGCCCACACTGAGACTTGTTCCCTCCTCTGCTGTGCCTTCACTGGCATAGTGCACACCATGTTTTCTAACAGTTAGTTGTATGTGTATCTGTCTTCCCGATTCCAGCACCAGTGCTTTGAGGGGTGCGAGCTTGTATCAGTCATGTCATCCATAAAGTATGTTTATCACAGTAGCTGCCTTTAGGAGAGAACTTAATAAAAATCTCTTGATTCCTAGAAACATGTCTGCCCCCTTAGTGCACGGGTAAGTACCGTGTTTCCCCAAAAATAAGACAGGGTCTTATATTTATTTTTCCTCAAGAAGACACCCTAGGGCTTATTTTCAGGGGATATGTTATTTTCCCCTCAAAGCCTCAGCTTGCAGCACGCACAGGATGGCCGGGACCTAATAGGTGGAGCCAACCTTGTTGGTGGGGCTGCCCACACCTTTCCAGTCACCTCTGGAGCAGTAGATGTCAGATGAGCAGGGCTGCTCATCTTCTTTACTGCTCTGCGACAGAGTGCATGGGTTGTGCAGACATGCATGCTGCATAGCCACGCCCATCACTAGGTCTTATTTTCGTGGTAGGGTTTATATTGCATAAATGCTTAGAAACCCTGCTATCTTATGGATAGGTCTTATTTTCGGGGACACACGGTACAATCCTACGTAGAAGTTCAGGTGGAGTAACTTGCCTTTGAGAGGCAACAGGACGTTGGGGAGAATGTAGGCTCTGGGGCCAGCTCCATCACTTCCAGCTATTAATGTTTCAGTCTGTTCCTTACTCTGTTCTTTTCTTTCTTTTTTTAAATTTGAGCCATAGATTTTTAACCTGTAAAATGGAGAATAATAATACCTACATTGCAGATTATTATAAAGAATTAGAGAAAATAAATATTTGCAAAAATATTCAACAAGGGGCTCAGAAAATGATGGCCCCTGGTACTGTCATCCCCATCTTCCTCATCCTCATCCAGGTCTGTGGTTTTGGTTAATACTTACAGGTTTTGAAGTGAAAGATCATGCTCAGAAGCAAGAAACTACTGGCAGCCTGCCAGCCCCTCCTCAGATGCCTCTGCCGGAGATCCCTCAGCCCTGGCTGGTGAGTTGAAGCTACCTTGGTGATCTCTGGGGCACATGATGGGGCAGATGCCTTACCTTGCTCAAGGCACTCCTTTGAGTTTGTTTCCAGGGCTGAGAAGCTGCTGGTAATAGCTAACTGGTAGGCCCTAAGAGTAGCTTTCCTCTTAGGAAGCTGGTGTTTCTGTGCAAACTGCTAGAGCCACAGGCCCATAGAAATCTGTTCTTAGGACAGATTAAGAAAAAATGAAAACAAAACTCCTAGAGGATTTAGCGGCACAGTAATATTGGTAAAGCCTGAGAACTCAACCCTCTTTCTGAGCTAACACTGAATTTGAATACCTTATTCTGAAACTTTAATATTCATTGCGATGCTTCCTCTGGGGTTAACTATTTTTTTCCCAAGGGAGAAAAATATGTACCTATTCCAGAAATGTGTATTTTATTTGATTTTATGCATTCAAATTCAAGTTGTTGGTTTTTTTTCTTTTTTGTCATTTTGTTCAATCCGGAGATACATGCTTATGCGATTTTTCATGTACCCTTCAGCTTTTACTGCATTTGCTGTTTTCTACTTGTTTACTCAGGGAGATTAGACTTTTATTCAAAGTTAGGACAAAATCAGTTTCTTAGAAGTTCTCTGTGTTTGCTTTCAGTGTGAATCATCTAATTATCTGTCTGCCAGGATCTGTGGGAGGGCAGGGTCTTGTGTACCTCTTGCCTCCTTGGTCCTAGCGCAGTGCCAGCGTCTAGTAGGTGCTGAGTAATTATTGTAGCAGGGGACAGAGCAACATTAGCACTTAGTGCATTCCTACCACATATCACTGGTCATGCTTGGTATGTTTTTCACTTACAGTTTCATTTAATTCTCACCACTTGGTCTCAAAGAACCCCTAAAACACTTCTTATCATGTGAAGAGTGTGTATACCCGTTTTTCAGAAAAGGAAATTGAGGCTCAGTGAAGATTTGTGGTTTGATCAAGATCATTTAAGTAGGAAAGGCAGAGACTGTAACTTTGTCTTTGATTTCAAATCTGTCCTTTTCTCAGCAATACTAGTTCAGAGGTGTGGCATCAGAATAGATGCACGTATGACTCACAGACGGACTGAAGCCCGTTCACTGAACCAGTATGGGGGCGGCTGAGGGATGCAGTGCAGCCTCAGACTGCCTGCCTCGCTCTCCCAGCTCTGCCTCTGACTTGCGTGATGTGGGGAGGTTAGAGTAACTTCTTGGTGCCTAAGGGTTATTGTGAAGATAAAAACAGTTAATGTATCTCAAATGCTTAGGATATATGCCTCACATATATTTAAGTCCTGTGAAAGCTGTTACTACTTAGAGCAGTGCTTCTCAAACTTTGATGTCCTGGTGAATCACCCAGGCATCTTATCAAAGTGGTTTACTAGATCTGGATGGGGCCTTCCATGCTGCATTTCTAACAAGATCAAAATATGAAAAAAACAAGAAAAAAGAAACTAAAGAAGTAGATAACAGTTATCTACATTTTCTTCTTCCCAGGACAGCCTGTGTTCCCATTTGTCCTCTTTGCTTCTGGTCTGTTCTCTGCCTGTGAGTCCAGTGCAGGGGCCACAGCCTCTAGTGGCTCTTGCAGCTTGGCTAGTTCTAATTAGATGTGGTGTAAGTGCAAAATACACACTGGATTTAGAGGACAGTATGAGAAAAAGGATGTAAAATATACGTTGATAACATGTTGAGTTATATTTTGTATATATTGAGTTAAAGAAGATATATTAATAAAATCAATGTACTCACTTTCTTAAAATAAAAATGTAAAAAAGAAAGCAACATAGCAGCATGTCACAGAAGATGGGAAAATTTAATAGGGAATGCTAATGTTGGTGTATATTGAATCACAAAAGAAATTTTAAAATAGCAGCATCACCTAGAAAATGAAGGTGAATGTATTCTTCAAAGACAGCCATGTCTTAGGGGAAGAAAAGGCAATTATTTATCAAGATGCAATGCTTCAAAATATAATTAATGATTGTGAAAGTTTGCTAGCTCTGTGTAATTGCCCATAATATACTTATTCATATGTCAGATTTTCTTTTTTTCTTTTGTTTTTTTTTTCATTATTTTAAATTTACAGCATTACTTTTTACAATTTGCTGCATTAATATTGGAGGTATACATTGCATAAAGACTTTTAGATTTCTAATTTGTTTTAGGTATTTTTTGTAAATTTGGCTTCATGAAAGTGCATTATCACAACATTGACTTTGTGCATAAATGTTATGTATGTATGTAAAAACATTGAAACTTCCTCAATAAATGAAGAGATATCCTTTGAAAAAAAATAAAATAAAAATTTAATCACTTTCTGTGGCTACTACAAAAATTTAAATTACATATGTGGCTCACATCTGTACCTGCATTGTTTTTCTGTTCTCTACATTTACTCTTTTCACAGTTGAGACCATATGGAATACATAACTTTATATATTTTTTAAAAATATGTATGACATAGTTGTCCTTCTTTATAAACTTCTTTTTATTCATTTTCTTTTTTTAACTCTCATCCTGTTTGTTGTAGAAGCTTGTATGGTTTGATTAGGTTTTTAATTTTTTCATGGCCTCACTTGCTATTTTTAGATATAGTCTGAAAGTAAGAGTCCAAAAGCATATAATTCAACAATATCAATCCTATTCATTGATATATGTTTATCTGAAAGATGAATAGCTATATGTGAAATCAGTAGTTCATTAATTTCCTGTTTTTGTTCGTCTTCTGGTTTATTTTTGTTTATTTTTCTAAGCTTGTCTTAAGCCTGTGTGGCTCTCCTGTTATATGTCTTAATATGCTGTGTCTTGTATTACATCATCCCATTTCATATTGGGAAAGGTGTTTTGAGATTGAGGGTAAATTATAGACATTTAGAAGCATCCAGAAGTGTCACAGCCCACCAGGTTCATTGCCTGCTGCTTAAGAGGATGACAGACATATATAGGGAGGACTATGAAAGACTGAGAAAAGAAATTGTAGAAGATGTAAGCAGATGGAAAACCCTACCATGCTCATGGATTGGCAGAATCAATACTGTTAAAATGTCCACACTATGGAATTAATGCAATCTTATCAAAATATCATCATCATTCCTTACAGATCTAGAAAAAATGATTCCATGCTTCGTGTGGAACCAGAGAAGACCTCATATAGCCAAAGCAATCTTAAGCAAAAAGAACTAATTGGGAGGCATCAGTCTACCAGTCTTCAAGCTTTAATAGAAGGCTATAGTAACCAAAACAGCATGGGACTGGCACAAGAACAGAGATATAAACCTTTGGAACATGACTGAGAACCCAGATATAAAACCATCCTCATATTGTCACCTAATCTTGGACAAAGCAGACAAAAATAAACATTGGGGAAAAGAATCTATATTCAATAAATGGTGCTGGGAAAACTGGATAACCACATGCAGACAATTGAAACTGGATCCCCACCTCTCACCTCTTACAAAAATCAACTCACGATGGATAAGAGACTTAAACCTAAAGTGTGAAACCTTAAGCATTCTAGAAGAAAATGTTGGGAAAACTCTTACAGACTATTGGCCTAGGCAACGAATTTATGAAGAAAAACCCCCAAAGCAATCACAGCAGCAACAAAAGTAAATAAATGGGACCTGATCAAATTAAAAAGCTTCTGCACAAGCCAAGGAAACCATCATTAGAGTAAATAAACAACCTCATAATGGGAGGAAATATTTGCATTTTACACATCTGATAAAGGCCTATAACGAGAATCTCTATAGAACTGAAGAAAATTAACAAAAAAAATCAAACAACTCCATCAGTAAATGGGCAAAAGATGTGAACAGAAACTTTTCAAAAGAAGGCAGAATAATGGCCAGCAGACTTAAAAAAGTGCTCAAAATCTCTAATCATTAGGGAAATGCAAATGAAAACCACAATGAGATATCACCTAACTCCAGTGAGAATGGCTTTTATCAAAAAGTCTCTAAACAACAAATGCTGGTGTGGATGTGGAGAGATAGGAACACTCATACATTACTGGTGGGACTGCAAATTAGTACAATCCTTGTGGAAAGTAAATTGGAGATATCTCAAAGAGCTAAAAATAGAAATACCATTTGATCTAGCAATCCCACTACTAGGCATCTACCTAAAGGAAAAAAAGACATTCTATAATAAAGACATTTGCACTCGAATGTTTATGGCAGCACAATTCACAATTGCAAAGATGTAGAAACAACTCAAGTGCCCATCAATATGTGAGTGGATTAATAAAATGTATATCATGGAGTTCTACTCAACTATAAAAACAATGGTGAACTAGCACCTCTTATATTATCCTGGATAGAGCTGGAGCCCATCCTTTGAAGTGAGGTATCATAAGAATGGAAAAACAAGCACCACATGTACTCACCATCAAATCGGTACTAACTTATCAACACTAAGGTGCTCACATGGTAGTAATATTCATTGGGTGCTGGTCAGGTGGGAGGGGAGGTGGGGGTGGGTAAACGGATGGGTAAGTTGATGTGGCGTGCACTGTATGGGGAAGGGCACAGTTGTAGCCCTGGCTGGGACAAGGCAGAGGCATTATATGCAACCAAAATGTTTGTACCCCCATAATATTCTGCAATTGAAAAAAAATAATGGTTTGGGCCATGCAAAAGAAAAAGAAAAAGGACCAGACAATGTTAATAAAAGTAATTTATGTTAGTAAATTTGTCTATATGTTGATAAGGGGTAGCATTGCTGAAAGCACTTTGTAATGTATGATGGAACTAATGAGTAAATATATTCCAAATAATGACAGCCAGATTTTTTACTATTGGGGAAAATTACAAAAACACAGTATCTTCCCAAGCATAAACACTCAGGTGTACTAACAACAGTTACTTGGGTATAACAGTTGAGAGCAGATGAACCATGTTCCTAAAGAAATAGATCAAAAAGGGAAATATATAAATGCATATCACTAGGGTTGTTAGGTGTGTGCACCCAGTTTCATAACTGCAGTCATCTGAAACACT